TTTTAAAAATAAATATAAAATTAAATAAATAAGATATTAAGCTGAAAATAAAAATATAAATTAATTAAATCTATATCTTTTAAACAAAAAAAAATTTTAAAAATTTTATGTTACAGTTTTTAAAATAATTATGTTTAAGTAAAATTTTGAATTTTTATATTAAACTGATTTTTTAAATTTTAATATATATTGTTAGAAAAAATGTGCTTGTCACCAGTGATGACAATTCCCGGTTCTGGATTAGGGTTGATTCGAATCTAGATTAGGTTGGTTTTTTTTTTTTTTTGATGATCTAGATCTGCTTCTGTTCGCATTTTTTATTTTTATTTTTCGCTTCACTACAAAACAGGTAGAAGATTAGAACCGGAAGCTTGCTGTCTTCTAACCTTCTTACTTTTGGAAATATGTGTTTTTTTTTTTTCATTGTTTGCATTTTTTTTTTTTTCTTTAAACTTACACTTTCTTTTGTAGATTTGTTTCGCTGAAGCCGCCATTGTAGTGTCATCATTTATGGAGATTTTGGACTTTTGTCATTTTGGAACCGTGTTTGTGGAGATTCAGGCTTCGTCGTTTCGTGTTGTCGTTAGTGATTTTAGGCTTTTTGTCGTTTCGGTAACGTCGTTTGTAGAGATTTCAGGATTTCGTCATTTGTTCGGTGACATTGTTTGTAGAGATTCTTCAGTGATTTTAGACTTTCGCCCTTGGAGTGTTTCTTCTACGTTCTTCTAGGTAGGTCTTATCACTGTTATTTGGGATTTTCTTTTCTTTTTCTTCAACTAACATTTCTTTGGCCTTGGAGCAGTTCCGGTATGTCTTTCGGTTTCACTTTGCTGGAAATGGGATCTTGTGAGATAAGAGCAGTAGTTTTTTTTCCATTGTTTTTTCAATTCTTTTTTTCTTGAATTAATCTTTTTGGCTTTGGTACTTGTTCTGGTATTTTGGTATCGTCGTTTTGAAAGCTTTCGTTTAAGATAAGTAATTTCTTCTATTTTGGATTGATTGTTTTTTTTTTTTTTTTTTTTTGTTCTTTCTCAGTTTGAGCTAATTCTTTTCTTGTTAGAATAATAGGTAAGTTGCTTTGATATGTTGTCGTCATCGTTGGAGCCTTCACGGGTATTGTTTTGTCGCTATTGTTGAAGTTTTTTTTGGTGAGTTTGTCGTTTCTAGAATTATCGTTGGAGCCTTCCCGGGTATTATTTCGCCACTGTTGTTGAAGTCTTTGTTGGTAGGTTTCGTCGTTTTTAGCGTCATCGTTCTTTGGGTTTTTGGCTCTTTTCATATTAAGGCCAGAGGGAACTCTGTTGGAGGTTCATAGCGGTTCTAACATGCAAGTTGATTGTCAAATTCGGGTATAGATTATGTTTGAATCACGAAATTTTTTGTGTGAGGATTTTTTTTTTTTTTTATATATATATATAATATCTATATATTTTGCTAAGCGCGAAGTTGATACTATGCATACGGATCTATGATGTTATAATATTGTAATTGACTGTATTATAATAAATTATTAATTAATTAAAGTATTTAAAAAAAATAAATTATATAATTGGCCACGTTATAATAAGTTATTAAAAAAAAAAAGGTGTAATTATTATTTTTGTTTTTTGATTGGCTCCACAAAATCTGGGCTAAGTTGATTTTCGAGATCAATTTTGATTGGTTGCACGTGATCGGGGTGTGTAATCGCTGGTTACAAATAGATTTGCTCATATTGTTAAATAGTAATTAGTATTACTAAATAAAGTAATATACAAGTTTAATTTTTTCACTAATAAACTAGCATTTTTTTTAAATAAAATTATTTAATATAACAAATTACATATATTATAAAAGTTTTATAATTTTTTAAAAAATATTTAATAAATTACTATATTAAGTAATAAAATTACTAAATTTGGTAATTTGTTAATTTATTTTAATAATTTAACTTTAACATTTAACAATAATATTTTATTTAAATTTTTTTAAAAATTTCTAAAAATTTAAAATTATATGTAATTTGTTATACTAAACAAATTTTATATAATAATGAAGTTAAATTTACTTAATAAAAATTAACTTTTAATATAAGTTAATTATGATAATTAATTTTTAAAAATTACTATTTTCAGTTTGGTATAATATTACACAAAATTATATATTTTAATTATTTCAAAAAATATTGTATAGAATTTTCTAAACTTTTTTTTGTTTAAAAAATATAAATTTAATTAGTTTATATTTTAATTTTTAGCTTAATATCTTATTTATTTGATTTTAAAATAAATCTAACTATAACTAGTAGTGATCATTATCAGAGTACCTATATCTCAAAAACATACTAAGTAAATGAAATCAGGTTCTCTAAGTAAAAATATTCAGAACTCTCAAAAACCTCATAAAAACTGAGATTGGGCTCTATTGGGCCCTTATAGTAGCTCTATATTATTTTATATAAAAAAAAATAATTCTCTAATTTCTAACCCTAATTCTAAAAATAATTAAAGGTTGTAATAATCACCACCGGTTATTTTAAGTATATTTCTTAATTTTATATTTATTTTTAAAAACTGCTCACAATAATATGGCCATCTACTGTAGAATTATTGATCAAAATATTCAAAATAATAATAATAATTTAATTCAAATAAAAAATCAGCACCAAAAACAATAATGTAGAAAAGTACTAAACTACTTATCACCACTACAATAACAACACCAAGCAATGACAAAAAAGCAGACAAAAGAAATATCAAAATGATGTCTATATAAAAAAAAGTAGTAGTTCAGTTATATCAACAATAAAATTAAAAACACCAAATACTTCATAATGGTAAATTTTGATTATTGGGCCTAAATTAAATTCACATATTTATTAATTAGAGCTCCAAAATGTTAATCACATATAGCTGATCAAAATTATCCTGTTTGTTTTTTTCAAAAAAATCATTAAAACAAATTTAAATATAATATTTTACTATCTAACCAATAGCCCCACCTTAAAACCAATGGGTTTTGAAATGAAAAATAGTATAAAATATAAAAAATTAAATTTATTCAACTATATGTAGTTTTACTTGGTATAAAAATACTATTAATAAAAATTACAATATAATTTGACCTGGCATACCTCAATTACTAGCAGATCATATAGCAAAATTTAAAAGAATATTGGTACATACAATTCAAAAATGGTTATTTTTTTATTTTTTATATTTAGAAAAACAGTTAGTTAAGTTTTCTTGTACTGAAAGTCAGCTTGTTGATGTTTTTGGTAGATATATAACTCGGTTTTCTCTAGCAAAAAGTTCCTTTTATTGTATATTTAAAGATAAAAATGCAAACAATATATTGTCTGAGATTTTTGAAGACCAACAATGGAGTACAAGATTCTATAATTCTGAGCAATATGCTTACGTTATTTTGTATGTAGAAAATTTGAATCAACAACAATTTCTTGCTACAAAAAGAAATTTACAAACAAAAACAAGTTTAAAAAAACAACCTATTCAACCTAAAATGCATATACAGCAGTGTTCTGAATTAAGTCAGCTCAATTAGGCTTACTCATTATTCCCATTAGCTCATTAAGACTTATTTAGTTTTTATACTATATAATATATAAAAATATTATTTATTTATATAATTTATATGATATTCTTGAACATATCATATATTATATGGCTTATAAATCAAATAAGTCTTAAATAAGCCAATGGGGTGTAGAATAAGCCTAATTGAGCTGGCTTAATTCGGAACACTGATATACAGTGATATACTGAAAGTTTATCAGATACAAAAAGATATTCTATCTTATCAGGCTACATTAGCATAATTTTTAGAATAGATCGTAATTATAAATAACTTTAGAATAATAAAAGTACAGTATATTTTTTTTAAAAAAAAAATAAATTGAATTTAGTTTATATAAAAACATAAATTTATTAATTATTATTATTATTATTTTTTTTTAATCTTCACAGGTTTTGCCATGGCTTGCTTTTTATTAAAATGTGTATAGGAGCTATATATATTTAATTTATAGAACTCAAAGCCCAACTTCACTCGGTTACCTTACGGTCCTAAATGCAACCTGTTGCATCAGTTCACAGACAAACCAGAATTATCTTATTAAAAAATCTATAAAAAAAAAGAAAACGATCTATGACTAATAAGGAGATATGAAAAGAGGAATAGGGGAAATAAACAAAATATAAAAATAAAAAACTCAAAAAAAGAAAAAACAGAAAAAAATAAAAAAACATTTTATAAAAAAAAGATAACAATTCGAGAGGAATTTCACCTCTCTATATAACCAGAATGCACTATTATAACCTGTGCAAGGCTAAAAAATTATATAACAAATGCAACAATTGTATATCTCTAGT